GGGGGGGTGGGCTCAGGGTGGAGCCCCCCCAGCTCAGCCCCTCTGTCCTGTGTGTCCCCCTCCCCAGCTCAAGCCCTGGCTGCTGCCGGCGCCATCAAGTTCCACGGGGCCACGTTTTAGTCCCCTCCTGAGGTGACACCGAACCTCTCGCCACCGTCCTCGGCTCTCCCGGACCCCCTTCCCTCCCTCCGGCGGCGACAGCACCGGGAGATGTGGCACCGCCCCAAGGAGACAGGGGTGGGGCTGGGGGTTGTCCCCAAGGAGCCCCCAGGGCTGTCACCGGCCACAGGGACACACCCGGACAGCTGTGACAGTGGCCAGCGGGCCAGCGGCGAGCACAGGGACCCCCAAGGTGTGTGACGGGGCTCTTGGGGTGGGGACCCGCCTGTCCCCACCACGGATGGTGCTGCCACCTTCCAGCGCTCCTGGATGCTCCTGTCGGCTCCTCGGGCACCGCTTCCCTTCCCTGAGCTCTGATCCTGATTTTGGGACCCGTCTGTGTCACTGCTGGTGGCCCGACCGGAGAAAGAAGGGGACAGGACGGATGGGGGTGGCACTGGGGGGGGACACGGAGGTGTCCCCGGGGTGCCCCAAAGGCTCTCCAGGGGGACATGGAAGTGTCCAGGGGCTCTCCAGGGGGACACGGAGATGTCCCCAGGGTGCCCCGAGGGCTCCCCAAACCCGGAGGGATGGGGATGTTGGATGGGAGCAGAGCAGGGAATTGGGGGGCCAGGGGGGATAACGGAGCTGTGGGGTCGGCAGGGACCCCTCCCCACTCTGGAGGGTGGGGACGGTGCTGAGGAGGGGTTTGGGGACAGCGGGGTCACCTGGGCCGCCCCCATCCCGCTGTCACCCTCCAAAAATCCCTTCCCGCGGCTCTCCAGCCTCTTCCAGCGGTTCGGATTTCCTGTAGCAAATTCCCCCTTGTCTTTATCACCCTGGAGGGTGGGAAAAACAAAACAAAACAAAACAAAAAAACAAACAAAAAAAAAAAAAGCAGAATCCCTGGAAGGATGTGAGGGTGGCAGCCAGGAGCTGGATCCCAAATCCCAAATAATCCCAAATCCCATCCATCCCTCCTGGCCCGACCCCAAACCCCAAACTCCCTGCATCCCAATCCCAATTTAGCAATACTTGTAGGATCCCTGGAGCCCTAAATCCCATTCCTGAGCCTCCCTCAGCCCCTTTAGCTCATAAAGCTGGCCCTTTATTTTGCTATTTACATGCCTTAATATATGTTTGATGGAAATTCTACATTTATAATATATATCTATATTTGGTTTTTCCTCTTCTTTTCCCGGGAAAAAGCTCGTGCCGAGCTCTCTCTTCTCTGCAGGATTTGTTGGCGCCAGCGCTGCCAACAAAAAAAAAAAAAAAAAAAAAATTCTTTGCCAATTTACCAGAGGGGGAAGGAAATTAAAAAAAAAAGAAAAGAAAAAAAGAAAAACACAAAAAAGAAGAAGGAAAAAAAAAAA